TATATATATATATATATATATATATATATATATATATATATATATATAGACATATAATTAAATAGAGTTCTCGAGGACAAAGAAATGGATTTCTGTAAATAGATAATAGAATTTATTCCAGGAAAGTCACGGTGCCCTACAGTTGAATTATCTTCAGTGTTTAGTCTTGAACTGAATCTTTACAACTATAAAAAAGAGTTAGGATTTATATTTATAATTTAACGATATCCTTGTAGTAGCATAAAATACTGGGGACATAAAAATTGTCGGGTAATCCGCAGCGAAGAAAACGTTCTCTCTCGTCAGGAATCCCGTTGTCTGTTAGAGTTTTATTTAGATCTAGAATTTTTTCTTCCGATTTCCAGAGATAGTCGGAGCTGTTTGAGTTGAAGAGCTTGAACCGTTCCTGGATTCTTTTTATCGTATCTTCTTCGCAGACCTAAACATAATCGAATTCATAACTATCATAATTGGAATATAATGACCGAACATTTAGATTTTAGATTTGGAGTCTAATACACTGATAGAAGAATTCGCTAACATTGAATAAACTTTATTAACTGGTAGTAAATGATTTTTTAACGTTAAATGACTAATTAACATTTGATAAATCATTTATTTAAGTCCATTTATTAACAGTTAAAAAAAAATTTAGTAAATCAAAATGTGCATGCCTTAATAGTTCGTGTCATACGTAAATTGATTAAAGTAAAATATATAATTATACAAAAAGTTTTTAATAATAATCTTAATTCTATTTTCTATTTTTTGATTATTTTATATCAAAAGTCGATCGAAAAAAAAAACAATTATCTACTGTACACTGCAAGAATAAATTTAGAAAATAATTTCAATAATAAGTTAATTACAAATAGATTACAAGAAATTTATTTTATTTATAAATCAATTTTGAAGCTCGTTTAAATTTTCCCGCGGATCGTATATTTTCATATAAATTGAACGCCCTCTTTCGTTCCGATAAGTGAATCATAAAAAAAGAACCAATTAAAAATTGAATTACCGGCGGTCAGCCTGCAATAAAACTGAGTATAGATTAGCTGTCTTCAAGCTATATTTACAAATAAATTTTTATATATAGCTGCTCAAAAGACAGAAATTTCTTCCGATTGCCAGCTGATGAAAATTAACTATAATTGAACAAAATAGCATTAAGCTGTAATTTTTATTCCGCAACTTTCCATAAGACAGATGAAGAAAATATAAAAAATGAATAGAGTTTAAAAATAAATTTTTTCAAGTTATCATATTTACCCCTTCACAAAGACTTAAAAAAATCATACCATAAGCTACACTGAAAGAAATTTTCTTTCAAAATTACCATTAAATTCACGGTAATCGTGGGACAAATGGCACGACCTAATGATTTGTCGGTAAGTGAGATAATTTTTAATTTTTTTTCAAAAAATTTTACCGTAGTCTACTGTAAATTGTATTCCGTTTTCGGTAAATTTCATGAAGTCTACCACAAAATAAATGAATTGTTTCGTAATTTTTATTTAAAAAATGGTAATAAATAAAAGGGCCGCACTATGTTCCACGATTACAGTGAATTTAACGGTAATTTTTAAAAGAAAATTTCTCTCCGTGTATTAAAACGAATTTTTCATGTAAAAATAGCGATTAATCAATTTAAAAAACAAATGTTGGTATTCAGCGATTATTTTCATTTCTAACAGTGTACTTTTTGTATCATTTTTCTGTACAATATGGTTGTCAGATACGATTTAATGAGAAAAAACGATGGAATCTTGATTTTTAAGCAATAGTAGAACATACATTCACGCTCATCACGCTTAAGGCATGCATAAAAATTCAACTTTAAAACTTTTTATAGCCCTATAATCCTAATAGATAATTTCACTGGACTAGAATCATTAATTATTTTCGAATAAAAAAATGTTGAAAATAAAATTAATAATTAAACAAATTGTTTCAAAATAATTAAAAAATAATTATTATCAAAAATAATAATTATAAAGTAATTAAATTTACGAACAGTGTCTAAATTCTTTTATCAGTGTATTACTATTACCCAAATGAGCGCCTCCTTGGCAATGAGCGTGTTGATGACGCGACACGGCCTCGGGTTCCGAGTAAGATTTCCAAGGAGGTATTTAGTGTCCCGCCACCAGGGAACTTGCTCCAAAGGTCTCCAAGTGCTCGAGGGTTCGGGAATTCCTACGTCGGGAATGGGCCCATGAGGACAGTAGGGCACCAAAGCCCCCGTTCGCGGATCCACATGATGCTGGATATCTCCCGTGAGACGATCAAACCAGTGGCTTATATCCTTGCCCGCGAATAAGAGGATCGGCTTTATCTCCGGACGATCTTCACACGATTTACATAATGCCGTTAGATCGTATACTTTGCCCAAATATGATACCCAGCAGTCAGATAAGCTGTTATGCAGCACTACTTCACTCGGAAGGAAATATGGGAGTTCTTTTTCCTGAAAAAAAATATTTTTTTATTTTTTTTACATTTCAGAGAGGATTTGTAATAATTCGTACCTTTGTAACTCAGAAAAAAATTAATAAGTTTATAATTACAATTATTTATAAATTATCATGCATCGTATAATTAGTTATGTTTTGATTGTATATGACTTTATAGAGTAAAAATGTAATTTTATATACATCGCGTTGCTACAGCAAAAAGGGCGTATCGCAAATTATACGTTCTCATGGATCTACAGAACAAGAAGAGCGGGCAAAAAAAATTTGATTGCTCCAATCAACTCACGAATGTATTAAATGTGGAAATTTACTTAAAAAGTGAAAAAGTTTGGAAAATCTAAAAGTGCACGCCTCATAACGCTCATTCATTTTTTAAGAAAAATAATGAATTGTGTAATTGATAAAAAAAAAATAATAATAATTAAGCACTTTCTTACAGAGTAATTTTTTTCGTAATTCCTCGCATTCTAGAAAAATCTAGCTTGATCAAGTAGCGCCATAGTTTTCACGTGAGAGAAATAAGAAAAGTTCGTTTGTTTTTGTACGTGTTTATCGTAGTGAATTTTAATGAAAATTCGATTTAAAATAAATGCGTAAACTAGGCTACTGACATGAAATACGGCACTAGTTCATCGAATTCTTAAACTAATAGAAAAAAGCCCGGTCTTGAAATATCAATTTGTTCAGGAGTAATTGTTGATATATACTAAATAAGGGTTACATCAGAACATCGACGTAAAATTTTTTTTTGCTCGATGGGCAGAAAGCGTCAAATTTCGGCCCGCTGCGCTAAACAAAATTGCCACTTTCTGCCTTCGTCGAGCAAAAAAATAGCATACACTCCTCGGGAAGTAAATAAGAAAGCCTCAGATCACATGTTTGTTGACCTCGGCTTCGCCTCGGCCAACAATTACATGTGATCTGAGACATTTCTTACTTTACTTCCCTCGGTGTGTAATACACTATTTCGAAACGTTTTTTTTTTTTTTTTCAAGATAGCAACATTAAATGATTTTAGAAAGTATAAGATAGTTTAATTTAAGTATTTTCTGGGTGTACATCTACTTATATTATTGTATAAGTGCATTATGGTTGTGATAGAGGCATTTGACGATCACGATAGTACATTACACACCTAGGGAAGTAAAGTAAGAAATGTCTCAAACATGTGATCTGAGGCTTTCTTCTTTACTTCCCGTGGAGTGTATATTATTTTTTTGCTCGACGAAGGCAGAAAGGGGCAACTTTGTTTAGCGCAGCGGGCCGAAAGTTGACGCTTTCTGCCCATCGAGCAAAAAAATTGCTTAACTTTGATGAGTCGAATGTAAGCACATCAACCTCACGCGCTTCGTGCTATGAGGCGTGCAAAATCAATTTATTTTCGAGATACGCCCTTCTTGCACTAAGTGAAAAAATTGTTAAAGCAAAAAAGGCGTATATAAAAAAAATTTTTATTTTTATCTTTTAATTTTCTGGGTGAGAAAATGAACGTTTTGAACTTCTGACTATGAAAATTAAAAAATTTTGAAGATTAGATAAATTATTAAATTTACTTAGATTCTCAAATATGAAGCTTTTATCAAATCCCAACGTTTTGGAATCCCAAGAGTCAATTAGAAAATCTTCAATTTAAAAAAAAAAAGAAAAGTTTCAAAAAATAATCTTAGTTAAAAGAAAAAAAATTTCAGGAAACAAAAAAAATTTTTTTTTAACTTTTAAAAATAAAAAAAACGGCTTTATCGATCAACTCCAAAAACTAATCAACTCTTAACTTAAAAAAACTACGTCGATCGCCGCTAATTCGGTCAAAATCGGTTTATTCGTTCGAAAGATATCGTGAACGAAAGAAAACCAAAAATTCGAACTCAAAGATTCTTTATGAGACTTAAAAACTGCGTCGAATGCTGTCAACCGCGTAAAAATCAGTTAATTCATTCAAAAGTTATTGAAAATTAAAAAAATAGTGTTTTATGAAACTTCTATCACATTTTTGAGTTCGAAAAGAGCTATCTCTTTGAATTCGGAGATCTCAAAATAACTCATAAACTGTATTTTTGAGCTCGAATAGCTCAAAAATATCATAAGTGTAATTTTAAGCGCCTACGTATGGAACTAGCTGGAAGTTGCAGGGATGGCCTTCAGGGTCAACCGTTTCCCTAATTTTTTTAATTTAAAATTGATGTTTCTAAAAATTTAAAATGACCATTTTTCCATTGACAGTTTTTACAACATAAAAATTATAGTTCAAAAAATGTAAATTAAACAATTGTCTTGATAGGAGTGAAATTATCAATTTTACAGTTTTTTTTTGTAATATTTACAGGGGTTGATTTTGTTTCCGTGCAATCGATAAATTTAAAAAAGATAGATTATTCTAAATTTTCTAATTTTTATTAAACAATTAGGTACAAATATTCAAAATAAATTTGGAGTTATAAAAAGTACGAGGTTGTAGTTAGGCTGTGCGCATGCGCCTCTGGAGGTCCCGCCGAAAAAAAGAAATGGAACTCCAAAAAAGAAATGGAAAACCTGGCTCGATTCATCGCTGCAGTTTCTACCAGAAGATCTAACACCTGCTTCTAATCCTCCCTTCCTCCCCCACATACAGCTCTTTTCTCTGTCACATTAAATTCTCCCCAAAAATAAATAAATTAGTACAAATAAATAACTAAACAAATAAATAAATATGTAACTGTGCCTCTCAAATCATAAATTGTAAATGAGATATATTGTTATTATCTTAAAAACAATAAATATACATACATACAATTTTCTAATTTTTACAATAGAATCCACAGAAACTCATAACACGTTAAAATTTCCAGAAATTCATTCAACTAATTTAATATTTAAAAATTTCCTTACTCTGATATTTGAAAATAAATTTTATATAAAAAATAAGTTTTTTTAATTAAAATAAATTATTCAAACTTACATTTATGTATTTTTTTCAAAGTTTAAATTATCAATTAGTTCATAATATCAAAAATAAATACATAAAAAAAATATGATACTGAAATTAACCGACATTTGACATTTTTTTTTATTTTTATTGTAAATAAATAATAAAACAAAATATTTTTAAATAATTAGCACTTGTAATTTTTTCAATTTTCTAGATGGAAAATTTTTCTATTCAATTTATTTTATAATAATTAAGCTGTTATAAAAATCCAAAAAAAATTAACAGATATTTGTTATAAACAATCTAACATTGTCTGTTAATTTCAGTTTTATAAAAAAAATTCAAATTTTCCGCCAACATACTGAGTCACGAGAAACTCTAAATTCCGTCGCGAAACTCCGTGAAAAATTGTCTAACACCTATAAAAAAAATTTCTCGGATCCTCAAATAATTTTCTCGAAAAAATTTCCCGAAATCTTGACCTCAACCCAACAGTTTATCGGCACACTGAAATTCAAACTTCCTGTTTCAAGTTGCACGTTTCGACTACATACAGGTATACTTATAGAACCCAAAGTGTGGTTATATTTAATAATACTTACTAATAAGAATAAGTTAATATTTTTTCATACGCTCAAGAATGGCTGAGACGTCTGATAAGGTAATAAGTGCATTTTATTTTAAATACTTACCCCGTTTTCTCAAAAAAACAATTTTATAATTTTAAATAAATAAAAATCTACAATAATAAAACTTACTCTCCCCATCAACCGGTAGTTCACCGCAACTTTATTGTTTGTGTTGATGTCACAATGCTTCCATCAGTTGTGGTATTGAATTATTATACTTATTAATAGCTTAAATCAATTTTTTGCAATCCCTAAAATTAATTTCATGCTTTTTTTATTTTTTTGCTAAAAATTTTTTCTACTTTTCTCGTCCCGACGCTTATCCAAACCAAACGTCAGCTATAACCTCAAAAATTTTTTTTATTATTTTAATAATTTATTTCTCCTAAATAATTAAGTTTTACGTAAAAATAGAAAAATAATTACCATTGATTAATTTTATTTTTAAGACCTCATTTTTTGAAGAAACAAATTTTTTTTGCCTGCTAAAAATTATAATTTTTTTTCCTGGAGCGCGTGGCTTTTTTTATACAATTTTTTTATATTTAATTTCAGAAACTCTAATTTTTTTTTATTTTTATTTATTAATTAGCTGATATTAATATTTTAACAAAATGAAAAGTCAGTAAATAAGTGAACATAATTATTTTTTAAGTCACTAAAAAACAATTGACAAAAAAAAAACAGTTGCATTGATAAATTTTTACAAAAAATTACTAATTTAATAAAAAATAACCGATAATTTTGATTAAAAAAAAAAAAAATGTATAGAATTTTTGGGAACGAAAAAAAATTACCAAGAAATTTATTTACAAATAGCGTTTCATTGCCTGAAAATTCATTTCATTCGGTACATTGTTTTTATGGTAAAGAAAGTAATAGACACCTGTCAATTTTTTGGATTTATGTAACTAAATTATTGCAAAATTTTTAATATAAAAATTCCGTCTAAAAATTAAGAAAATTTACAAGTGTAAATTTTTTTTAACTATTTTTTTTTTTTTATAATTGATTTGTAATAATAAAAAAAAATTGTCTAATGTCTGCTGATTTCAATATCATCTTTTAGTCTGTAAGTTTAAAGTAAATAATAAGAGCTATAAATTAATCAACTTGTTGACTTCTAGGTACAAGAGTACAAAGACTCGTTAAAGACGAAGGCAGAGCAGCTGTTACTTAAAGGTTTCCCGGAGAAAATAGTTAAATTGAATGAGATTTTGGCGACGCCAAACTTCTCAAACCGGGACTTGACTGAAGTGCACCAGGAGCTAAATGTCGTGATTCCGGAGCCAATTGCTCTGAACCATTCCGAAGATGGACATACGAATAAGCGCAAGCGGGTGGAAAATGAGGAGGACAGTACCAACATCACTGGCACCAAGGTTATGATCCTTCCTAATGGTCCTATTCCATGTAATAAGCCACTCTGTGACATGATACGTATTGTTAAGCCTTATATCATTCAACTTCTTGAGGATTCCAATCTGGTAATTTTTTTTTTACACTTTAAATATTTTATATTTTAAGATTATTCAATTATTTTTGATAATTATGTAGAAGGGTGAAACCTATTTTCCGTTATAAAGAATATAAAAATGGAGATATCTAATTTTTATGTGTCACTAAAATAAGCAGACATTTTTATTTTATTTTATATGAGGAATAAAATAGTTGTAAATAAATAAAAAATAAGTTAATTGAAAAAAGTTATTTTCAAATAATAATACTTATCGTTTGTTACAATTTCTACAAGTGAAATTTGTTTTTATTGATATAATTTGTTTGTTATAAAATTCTAAAAAATGATCAAATGTCTCAATTTCAAAATCACTTTTTATATAAAACTGAAATCAGCAGGTGGTTGACAATTGTTTGATTTTTTTTTTATTAAAATATAACTGAAAGATATCTTAAAAAATTGCACATATAATTTTTAAAATCATCTAGATGCAGAACTTTTATTATTATTTTTTGTAATAATTTTATCAATAAGAAAAATCCTTAAAATTGTCAAATGTTTACTAATTTCATTTTTATAATTTTTATTTTAATATATTCTACTCTTACATTGATTAAGAATAAACACTGCTTTAATTTTTGACAAATTTAATATAATTTTGTCCTTTAAAAAGTTATAAATTTAAATGTTTACTTTTGATCAACTATTTTAAGGTGATGCATTTATTTTTATGAGTTAATATATTTTTTTTATATTGCCTATAATTAACAGAACAATTATCTTACAAAATTTTAAAAAAAATCTTTAAATTTGTGTCAGTCAACTGGTTTTTTTTTTTTTTTTTTTTTTTTTTTTTATTATTTTACTTTCGAAGCGTACCATAACTACAAAAAAAATTAGAAATACGGTTCACCCTAAAGGCCATCCCTGCAACTTCCCGCTCATTTTGTACTTAAACGCTTCAAACTACACATTACGTTTTTGAGCTCTTCGAGCTCAAAAATATTATTTTTGTGTCGATTTGAGCTCTTCGAGCTCAAAACTCTAATAGCAGTTTAAAGACACAATTTTTTGAGTTTTCAAACGGCAATAACTTTTGAATGAATGAACCGATTTTCACGCGGTTGACGGCAATCGACGCAGTTTTTGAAGTTCCATGAAAAATTTTCAATTTTAAATCGATCGAGCCATGAATTTCGAAGTTATTACAAAAAAACACTTTTTTCGATTTTTCTCAACAACGATATCTCACGAACGCATCAACCGATTCTAACGTTTTTGGTGGCGATCGATGGGGGTTTTCAAGGTTAAGAGCTGATTAGTTTTTGAGACCGATCGGTTCAGCCAATTCGGAGATATTCGAAAAAGATTAAAAAAAAAACAACTTTTTTTTCACTTTTTTTGCATTTTCTCGAAATCTACCGGTCCGAATCGGTTCAAATTTTCAGGAAATCTAAGTTTAGTGAAGCCCTTTCGAATGACACCAACCGCGATGAAATCGGTCGAGTCGTTCAAAAGTTACAAGAGATTTACGTGTACACACACACACACACACACACACACACACATTGCCTGGTGGCGACCCTAGATAATTAATTTTTTTTTATAGTAAACAAGTTATTCAATCTAATCTCACGATTTTTTTTATTAAAAATTAAAATAACTTCAAATTTTCCGCTAATTTTTTAGTTAATGACGCCTCCGTGTGGCGTCAGTAGTAAACACAGTGGCCATTTTGTAATTCCAGCCGGTTATAACACTTTTTCTTTATTTATAACAAAATTGCTGACATTTTAACAGCGATTTTGTGAACAATTGTTCATTTTATAATTTTAAATCTAATTTAAAAAGAATTATAGTGATTCATTTAGTTTTTTACAAGATATAGTAAATATTCTAAATGAACTTGATAAGTAGGTTATGAATAATGATACGGGAATAAATTTTTGTAAATATATTTTTATTGCCACCAAAATAATACAACAGTGCTAGATTATAATCAATATATCGTACAACAATCGGTCAAGTTTCTTCAAAATTTAACAAATCATTGATCTGAATCAAAAATTGCTGAATTTGGGAGGTTCTGGTTTAGGTCCCTGGCGTCCTTGTGGAGAGCGACGCCCTCTTGCACCTCCGTTCACAACTATTAACAGAAAACCATAAATTAACATGATCATTGAAGCTTATAATAAACTAGGAATTCAAACTTTAATTCTGAACCAGTAAGGAATCAGGGTCCATATTTTCAAGTCATTTCTAAGCTTCAATCAACCATTAATTTTAATATATAGGAAAATTACCTCCATTTGGAAAAAGTTTCTCATCAATCTCAACAAAAAAATTTTCAGCCCCAACATCAGAAGCACTTCGCTTTTGACGTTCATTGTTTGAATCAGAACCTCCAAGTCCACTGGCTTGTCCTCCAGCTTGAGCACTAAATCCGCCGCTCATTCCACCACTTCCAGCGCCACCTGGCATACCTCCTGGAGGTGGAGGTGGTGGAGCCATTCCAGGTCTTGGTGGTCCTTGATCAGGATTTTGGGCTGCCTAGAAAATTATTGAATTGCTTCTAAATAATATGAGATACTGAAAAATTGATAAGGATTTTTTTTTGTAGAGAGTTTGTACTGCTACAAAAAAAGTTTCTTAATATTTTTTTTGCGGGTCAAAATTAAAATTGGTCTTGGACCCATAACCTGTTGGAATCTCTAATGGAATATTAGTTAAGGTGAATGAGTAGTTATATACATAAGGAGCTGTTAAATATGCATCTATACTTGATGGTTTATTATAACAGACTAATTATACAATATTTAATACTTACCGCCAAAACTGCACACCCCAAAAGGCAGATAACTAAGAATCCGTTCATTTCAACAAATTTAACTGATCTCTTCACAAAATACTCCGGGTTTATATACACCTCTAATGATATTCAACAATAAATCATCTTGCACAACACTTTTCATAAAAAAATCATAATTATGATTGCCCAGATAATAAAAATAGTTATTGTTCGAAACAAAAAAGCGTCCTTGCAAACTCTAAACTCCCGGGAAGCTTTTAAATATGAATTAAGACACTTAATAATAAAATAGTTCGCGGAAAATTTTACACCAGCGATAATTATTAATGATAATTCGCTTATGTAACGAGAAGAATTATCGGTCTTTTAAGTAAACAACAAACTCACCTCGTCTTCCTGGGAAGAGGCGAGCTCCGGTTCATTTTCTTCCAACTTGGTTAGTAGTTTATCCTGAAACAGAATAAACTTTTGTAATTACCAATTCTGATTATTAATTAATTGTTAGCCGGTTCATTTATTCCGTACATATATTTATATCTAAATTCATTTATACCGTGAGTTTTAATTGATGGTTAATAAACAGTCTCGCGTTAATAATTAACGAATGTACGTTCAATTTCAGGGATAATTGTGGTATTAATAGAAACATTCATTGAAAGTTTGCAACAAGTAATCGATACGACGATAAAGTCGCTTTCATTTTACATCAACGTTATTTATGTTTTACAATTCTAATTTTATAGTTTGTTGTTTACAATTCATGTATAATTAACGAGGTTAACTTTGAATCTAACAATAGTAGAAAAAAATTTTTTTTTGCATTAGTGTAAACAGGATAACTCGAGAAAGAATCGACCAATTGACCTGATTTTTTGTGAGTAGTATTGTTGTATCAATCCAAAGGTCCGTATTAAAAATCAGCTCTCAAATCCTGTCGGTTTGATTGGTATCTCATGTTTTGTTAAAGGATAGTAATTAAATAGACTCGGGTATAAAGGGTTGGACTTACAAGAGATTACCAGAATTATTGTGTAGGAATTATCTTAACTAGAATGCCGCTGATGAATCCTTATTTTGACGGGGATGAGTTGGACTATCGGTATCAGAGCATGAGCTAGTTTCTGGCTGAACTATACTCTACTCTATGAGTATTACGTTTCAGTGCACTTTCCACTCTGTTCTGTTCTATTCTGTTCGGAAAGTGACCTCGATATTGAAAACCACCCGACTATACGGTGGCTTGCACTCGGTCTTTTGTCCGTCGCCGATTGTGTTCTATTAAATTCAAACTGAAAATTTTCAATTCGATTTTTGAAAATCTGAGAATTTTTAGCGGGAAGTTAAAAAAATTTTACAGAGAATTTCTTTCATGGAAAATCTAACCGTTCATAAAATACGTTCGCACTTAGGGGGGAGGGGGGGGGTGTTGTCAAGTGTGATCATACATGTTAAGAAGATGGAAGAAAGCGTGACAAAGGGGGGGGGAGGGGGTCCAAAATACCGATATTTTGCGTGACGTAATTTATGAACGGCCCCTTATAGCATAAACTCATTTTTTTAATAAAAATAAAAGAATTTTAAGACGTCTGCTAATTTTAGTATCCTAATTATCTTTTTTTTTTTTGTAATAAAAAAATAAATAATTTTGGAATTAATTATATTGCTTATTTTACAGCTGAAAATGTGGATATCATTCATGATCCCTAAAATAGAAGACGGTAATAACTTTGGAGTTTCTATCCAAGAAGAAACACTTGGAGAGATTCAATCTGTTGAAAGTGAAGCTGCTGCTTTCTTTGATCAAATTTCAAGGTAATTTATATTTTTATTTTAATCCCTATTTTTCAACCTTACAATTGAAATATTTGTCATTTTTTCTTACATATTTTAAAAATTACTATGAATTGTGACAGTTTCTTATCAATATCTTTTTACAGGTACTTTGTGTCAAGAGGAAAAATACTGAGTAAAGTGGCAAAGTATCCCCACATCCTGGACTACCGACGAGCTGTGCAGGAGTTCGACGAGAAAGAGTACACGAGTTTGTGGCTAGTGATGTGCGAGGTACGCAACCGCTACTGCTCACTACACGACCTGGTGATCAAGAACCTGGAAAAAATAAAACGGCCGCGTTCTTCCAACGCTGAGTCGCTGTATTAATAAATGATAAATGAAAAACTATTTATTATTTAAAAAAGTAACTGCGTTCAGTAATTTACTTGTAGGAATTACTTAACTAACTTTGTTTATTCATTTTTTTGCCGAAAACCCTGTGAATTATTTATTGTAATTCTCGATTGAAATTTTTTTTTCAATTTTCAAATAAAATTTTAAAAAAATTTAAATGTTTTAGTAAACTTAATTTGAAAAATTATAAATTAACAAAATGTGTCATTAAAGATTTAAAGCTAATGCTGATTAAAAAATTAATTACATTTAATGTTCTGATGGAATTTAAAATATACAAAATATTTAAAACTATAGAGATTTCATTTAATTCAAATTGATAAATCACCTTTAAATAGCACAGTAGATAAGTTTTACTAACTTCGTTTGTTTCAAGAGCCAAAACTAGTCCCAGGTATGAAAATGATAATAAAACTGATATTTATTGATACTTAAAAAAAAATCTAATACGTCTATTGTAACTATAGCTATACCATTAGCAGTCTTATCAATTGCAATAATACCAGTTACTTCTCTACCAACATTTAAGTCAACCAATCAGAAAATTTACCGGTTAACAACTTTATCGCGAAACTATACCATTACAATTTACCAGAATCAATATCAATCAACGATTTGAAAGCTTTCCGTTTTACATTTCTATCAGTTTAATATCTATCAGGAACAACTCAGCCACAAACAACTATACCAAAAAATAACTCTACTTTAATACAGCTCTAATACTTTTTAAGTCTATTATAAATTAAAACTCTACCATTTCAAACACTACCACAATTTTTTGCAATAAACGGTGACGATAATATAACTTAGCATTCGTCGGTACATCTCTAAACTCTTTTAGTGAATATCTCTAAACTCTTAAGATATTAAAAAAATTATCTAGATATAATTTGAATTATGGCGCCAACTGATAAGCATAATACGATTGAAATTTTCAATATTAAAAAAAATTGGCTTATTTATTTAAATAATAACAATGAGCAACTTGCAGTCACTATGCGATTTTATTGAAACACATTTCAAATACTTTTTTTTTTTAAAACAGGTAGACGGTGGTATACATACTCACTATTGTTTTTTAATTTATTAGAGTAGAAAAAAGCAACTTGTTTTAATTTAAAAATTTTTACCAATTTACATTTTCGCAGAAAAATTATTATAGACCATGGAGAAATGTACATAATGAGAAATGCATTGATGTGCATGATCTAATTTTTCTTTCGGACTCTATAAAAGATTCTACAACCATGGTCATTAATTTAAGTATGTTTTGAAATTTACTAGAAAATAGCCGTTTGTAAACTAAAAACTTTTAAAACTGAAAATGATGCCGTTTATAAAATGAGGCGATCATTAAAAAAGATAATATTAAATAATGATTAGTAAAAATGATGCAAAATTTAAACTTGTAACAACCTTAAAATGTTGTAAAATAAAAAATTCAACCAACCAAAAAAAAAAAAAAGATAATAATTAAAAAACTCAATAGTAAATCGAACGAATTTAAAAAAAAGTTTGGAAAATCCAAAAGTGCACGACTCATAATGCTCATTTAATTATAAAATATTAAAAAAAAAAAA